GTTCCGTGCAGGGTCCTCTAGAACCCCCCACCCCCACCTTGGACAGAATCCTCGGATTTGTTCTGTAGCGTGGTGTTTGGTGTTCAGAGTTAACTATGACTAGCTAAGTACCAGAAATTAACTAGTGGCCCGAATGGAGACACTCGGGTTCCCCACGTTAAAACAAACTGACCTTGTATCGCATCCTGACTCATTGGAGAGTAAAAGGTAAATACTGACGGCTGTAATAAAAGTAGTGATCTAAGTAAAGACTTTACTCAGACTGTAAAGTGAGGTATGTTTCAGTGTGCCGATGTCGTTACCGAATGTGACACAAGGTTACTTTAAAGTAGGTTTCGAACGGTAATACCGTGGGAAAATTGCTCAAGGAGCTTTTGGGGACGCCTCAAGGAGAGGTACTACCTGGGGCTTAATTTAATTTTTTTTTTTTGTTAACTTTCCCGGCAAAAGTGTCGGGGAAGTATGTGATACTATTTGTTGTTGGCGTAGTAAAACGGAAGAAAGTTTTCTTAAGAAAGTGTTTATGTGCTGAGACATTGAAACGAGAAGGGTCAATAGCAAAAACTCGTGGGAAGAATTGAGGATTTAATTCACACATAAACGACTTGAATTGTATGTCGAGCAGTTTGAACAATGGAAAAGTGACCCAGACTTAGTGGGTAATGTTGGTTGACACACAGCTACAAAATGCAAGCAGTAAAGCGAAAGTTTAATTTTTCGTAAACAACGAATTTTGAGTTCATTTCCCTGGTCAAAAGTTGAGTTGAAATACCAGCAGGGGGTGGATAAGCCACCCACACTCACTGAGGAGATTTAGTGAGAAGTAATAATATGAAAGGGTGGAGTAAGGGAATTCCCCAAAGTTAAGCCGGAGGGGTTTCACCAAAATGCTCCTACCTCGCCATGACCTCCCATGCCAGTTTGGGCGAATGTTCATAAATACGAATGCACGAATTGAATTTAGAAGAGAAGATACAAGACAGGGCCACATGATTATCTGCTGATGAAAGCCTCCGACTTCAGCCTTGTACTGAACTTTACCAAAATAGCAACCTAAAATTTACCAGATTGACAACAATAATATCACTTCTGATTTAGTGGAGGGGATAATTGCATGCAAACAGCAAACTAATAACCAATTATTGTACGAAGGACTGATATAAAAAAACAGTATTTACTTTTGTTCAATGTATTCGGGTTTCCTCCCCCCTCATGTAAGTGTACGTCATTGCCGTCCGACACGAAGATACCTGCAACGATTCGATCTTAGCTGTCTTATGATGAAACTTGAATCACAATTTGAGATAAGGTTAGCTCTGCATTGAAGCGGTCATTTCAGCAACCAGCCGCGGGGAGAGTATTGACGATTACAAGTGTAAATGGTTACTAAAAATTCTATTTTAAATTAAATAATTCCCTAATGTTTCAAAAATTAAAACTGGAGATTTTTTTATTTATATTTTTTGCTTTCATTATCAGAAGTGCACACTGTATCTTTCAAATTGAGTCACTAAGATTATTTTTTTTATTCCATGTGTGAATTTTTTAGAAATAAATTCACGCAAAAAGAAAAAAATATTTTGATGCTCCGAGTAGATAAAAATAAACGTCAGAACTTTTAAAACTTTTTGTAAAGATGGCAAAAAAATAATCGTACATATAAGGATCTTAAATTTCTTCTAGGTACCTCCTCCAAATCAAAATCAATTGCACTTTCGAAACTTTTTATTTTTAAGTTCTGAGGGAGTATTTTTGTCGGTTCATCAGTTTTTAAAAAGTTATATAATTTTGGTATTTTTGGTTGGTCAAATAAAACCACGATTTAACTTCAAAGACATTTAAATTATTTAATGCGTTTTTCTTCAACTCTTTATTATTATTTTTTTCAGAATGTCCGTGATGATACCTATTTCCTATAAAAAAAAATTATAATAAAATAATAATTATTATTATTTGATAGTTTTAAGGAAGCGCATCGCAATGCAACATGTAAACAAGTATTTGTAGCCTAGCAACAACAAAAACAGGAAGTCTAATGTTGACACGTGACCATAGCATCCGGTATTTCTTAACTACCTCGAGAAATGTCTTCGGTAGATACCGTATATGGTTAAATGAATCTAGCTAGAGAAAGGTAACAAAAAAAAATTACCTGAGTTGTAGAATTTTGTCTATATCTCTAGATGAATCGAACCAGCTCAAATTCTGGCATAATAAAACTAACAAACTCTTTATTATCTCACTTCAAAATTAAATGTTTCCCACACCTTAAAAATAAATTATTCATCTTAGCGAGGAGTTCAAGAAAGTGTTAGCAATATTTTGTGATCAAAACTTTTGTCATATCATAAATGTGGGTTTGTTTTGTTTTTTTTTCAGTTATTAAACTTGCTTGTCTCTGTATTTGTATTGGATATGATGATATAACTTGTGAACGGCTTTTTAAACTGAAATCCTAAAGTGGCAGAAAATGCAATCACTATCAGAAAAATAAATAAAAACGGTAGCAAATGTTTTTTTGCTTCTTTTTAAATACCTCTTTAACTGCTTCAACAATAACGTTATCGCGTCATCTCTTAAAGTTCTCCAAGTCACTGCCAATTTTGTTAAAAAAAAAAAAAAAAAGTAAAAATTTTTCTACTTTGAAAGTTTTACTTTTTTTCACAAATATTCAATTTCAATATGTTGAAGATAGCTAGGCATTATAAAGAATATTTTTCAATGATTTAACTACTTTATTCGTTTTATAAATCATGGCAAAATTATAATGTAAAAATTTGATAAATAATTCAATGATCTTTTCCTTCTCTTTGATGTCTGTAAGCATGCCATCCTTCTCGGCAACGAACTGTAAACGACGTGATGATCCTAACCGGGTGCGTTAAAAATGGTGCCTCACTTCGCATTTTAACTTTCCCCGGTTATGTTTACTTTAAAACGGAAGTAATGTCATGACATCACAGCCGTCACTGTGGTATCAACGAGTACCTGGTTATTTGGAGGATATTAAAAAATATATTTGATTCGATGATCTATTGAGAAGAAGGAAAAATCGAATGATATTTATTTGTAGATTACATTTATTCTTTTTCGCATGAAGCAACAGACAATGCTTGGAGAGAAAGAGAGACAGAGATTTGCTCCGTAATTTCTTCCGGTTCTGATTTAGACATCAGAAGAGCATGGCTGTCCCTTGTAAATCGGTAAGTAGTTTACATACTTTTTGTGTCTTCTGTTTATAAAAAAAAGTGTCTCAACTAAATTAGCAAAGACACATACATGTTTAACAAAAAAGTATCTTTCCGACTTGATTCAAATCCAAAAAAAAAACATGTTTTGATGCACATTTTGTGCAATCTTCTGTTTTTCTAGGTTTATGGAATGCATACCTCTGGCTATAAACTGGGGGATTAAATTTTAACATTCTTTTATTATAAACTATGCCCCCATTTTTTGGCCACCTTTATGGTATGTTTTTTGTGTGTATATTTACTAGAAGTCTGCAGCACTTCTGCATTAATAGACTTAATCGTTTAAAAACTTTATAATGGCATAAAATATCTTTCATCTCTAATAATTTTTAAGCAAAAATATACGATTTATTTTTAGAACAATCATTTTTTAATCTTTCTCTCTGCCTTGGTGGTGATGCCCAAATGAGTGTTTGTGCCTTATCTTTTCTTTCGCCCTTTGGGTGTGGTTACCTGTCTTGATGCGTGCTATTTAGACTAAATTACCTGTCCCTGTATATATATAGAGAGAGAGAGAGAAAAATATACGGAAAAAACAAACAAAAATCCTAATATGCAATTTATGCTGTTTTAATGTTAGACCGAAACGTTCGACGTTGACATTTAACATTAAAACAGCATAATTGCATATTAGGATTTTTGTTTGTTTTTTCCGTATATTTTCTTCATACCGTCGGATCTATATCCATATATTTGCTTACACACACACACACATATATATATATATATATATATATATATATATATATATATATATATATATATATATATATACTAAAATCATCTTTGCAAAATTTCGATTATCTTTCTGTCTCCGAATGAATTGTGCATGCAAACTAAAATAACTAACTACAGAAACGATTGATTTTTAAAAAATTCTTTTTTAAAGTTATTTTCACTTGCTAATCTTCTTAAACCAGTCACTACTATTTGTTTGATGAATTTGTTGTGGACACTGTCGTGTAGTTTGAGGGAAAATTCTAAGTTTCCTTTTCCTCAATGATAAGATTGTGAAAGTTAATTTTCTAGATTACTAAATTCGTTTATTTAAGTGATCTTTTTTTGATGTTAAAAAGCTTACTGCTTCATGTTACCAATCACTTTCTTGTTATTCTTTTTCACATAAACAATAACTTTTCTTAAAATTCAACTTGGATATTTTTTTCATGACTTCTTTTTAAAGTTTCAGTAATCTTTAGTCTTCTCTTGTGTGAGCTTGTTTTGTTTTTTTTTATTCTGATTGAAACTTTCCATATTAAAATTTAAAAACTAACATTTTTTTGGTCCTCAAAGCGGCAAAATGTTTTTATTTTTAAGCATCTTTTAATTTTATGATTCAAGAAAAAAAAAATATAAACGAGAAAAATTGAAGTAATCTTGACTCTCACTTCATGATCTATTTTTGTTTGTTTCAGAAATGTGAAGAAAAATTAAAATTTATTTTCTTTTTTCTCCACAAGAACATCAGATAATAATCGATACGTTTCTTTTCAAACTTATTTGTCTTGCTCTCTTTTTTAATATTGTGAAAGTTATACAGCTGTCAAAGTATTTCTGTCCGAACCCAAAGTTAGAAACTTTGTAATGATGCCGCCTTAAAGAATTGTTATTGTTTCATAATTAAAACTTGTAGATTTTTTATGAAGGAAAAATTAGATTTGTTGCTCAAGAATTTATCCTGATTTCATTCTCTTCATCATGGCTTTTTATTCTGAATAATTCTTTTTATTAATATTTTTAATTAAAATGATGGTTTTACTTTTTTTTTCCTCTCTCTGTCTGCTCTTTTTTCCTCTCTCTCTCTCTGTCTGCTCTTTTTTCCTCTCTCTCTCTCTGTCTGCTCTTTTTTCCTCTCTCTCTCTCTCTGTCTGCACTTTTTTTTCTCTCTCTCTGTCTGCTCTTTTTTCTCTCTCTCTGGGCTCTTTTTTCTCTCTCTCTCTGGGCTCTTTTTTCTCTCTCTCTCTCTGTCTGCTCTTTTTTTTTCACTTTCTCTCTGTCTGCTCTTTTTTTTTCACTTTCTCTCTGTCTGCTCTTTTTCTCTCTCTCTCTCTGCTCTTTTTTCCTCTCTCTCTGCTCTTTTTTCCTCTCTCTCTGCTCTTTTTTCCTCTCTCCCTGCTCTTTTTTTTCCTCTCTCTCTCCCTGCTCTTTTTTTTCCTCTCTCTCTCCCTGCTCTTTTTTTTCTCTCTCTCTCCCTGCTCTTTTTTTTCCTCTCTCTCTCCCTGCTCTTTTTTTTTTTTCCTCTCTCTCCCTGCTCTTTTTTTTCCTCTCTCTCTCCCTGCTCTTTTTTTTCCTCTCTCTCTCCCTGCTCTTTTTTTTTCCTCTAGGTATTTATTCGTTGACGAGAATTCACTACCGTACTGTAGTGTGTACTGTAATTCTGCCATTGCATTCCAATCTCGCTTCTTTTTTTTTTTTTTTTTTACGCACAATAACAAGTGTAAGTATATGTTGTGTGCTCGGTATCGTCACCTAAAAAGAAAAGCAAATTTTTAAAATGAAAAAAATTTTCTTGAAGCTACTTTTTTTTATTTTAGTTTTAATTCTAAGCTAAATATTTTCAATACTTTTCTTTCTCTATTTCAAACCAAATTTTTTTTTAATTGATTGGTATGTTTTTTTCTTTTTCATTTCTTTTTTTTTTTTTTTTTTTTTGATTATCAGATCAGTAAAAAAAAAATCGTCCATAAATTTGTCAACACAACATAATTCTTCTTATTAAAAAAATCTTTCGAACGTGAACTTTTCTGAAACTTTATTTGAGGAAGTTTAACTGAATTAATCGGAATTAAGAACAAATTATTACTTTGTTTTTTCCAGTTCCGAATATTATTTGAGAAAAAATAGCTGATTTAAGTAAAAGTTGTTAATAATCTGAACTGAATTGAAACATTAATTTTTAGTACTTTTTCTGCAATAATGGTTGCGAGATTTATGTAAAATTACATGACAAATTGAAATACAACGTAAAAATGCCTTAGATGATTTTTTTTTTAACTATACAGTATTTTAAATATTAAGCATTCTATTTTATTTATTTATTTTTTTTTTTTTAAGTACTTTAAACTTTATAGTCTTACTTACGAAGACACGCATTTAGAAAATTACCAATAAATTTTAGTTACCGCTCTTATTTTCTGATAATGTCATTGTCATGTATGGACGTCTATTTACAAAAAAACGGCACGTTTCTTTATACACACACACAAAGCATAATTCTTTTTAAAATAAAATAAAATGGGATCACTAAATTATTGTCATAAGCTTTTCCATTATGATTAGTTTTTATTTTATTTAATAATAACAATATCATCACTTGACCGCTGCAAGTTAATAATACAGAATTTTAAAAGTTTATATAAATTCTGATTAAAAAAATAAACAAGTCTTGTAAAAATGAACTATTCCTCGAAAAAAAAAATTTTCTTAAGACAACAGTGTACATAAAAAACTACTCAGAGCAGATTTTCTGTAACTTGTGGTCCTGTTTGACACCTAAAAAATTTGATAAATTCTCCAAGGACATGCCAAGAGCTACAAAAAATAGTATTTCTGAATTTCATAACTGTTGGGTAACAAATGTTAAAAAAGATAGAAAAATAATTTCGCTCATTTGTGAAGAAGCCCTGAAAATTTCATTAAACTGCAACAAATATCTGAATCTGATTTTTGCAAGAATTTTCAATCAATGTTTTTCATTGCAAACAAAAAGATGCTCAAATTCTCCACAAATTTATGACCCCCCCAACATGTCAGAAAAACATGATTTTTAACCAAAATTTTGAAGGTTCAAAAAATTAAAAAGAATAATAATTTTTACATCAAAAAATCCTTTGGTCTTTCTTCTTAGTAATAACAGATTTTGATGCTAAAACGTTTTTTATAAAGTTTTGGGCATTTATTTATCTTAATAAAATGCACCTGGTTTAAATTAAAATCAACCAGAATTGTCCTTAATAATAAAAAAAATAAAAGGAGTGATAGAGAGAAGATCTAGCACAATGAGCTTCTGAGCATATTTGAATAGGAAAACCAGAAATTAAACAGCACTTGCACATTCCAGCCATTTCATAATGAAGAGGTTACAATTTACCATTTTATTTATTTGTGTTCAGTTTTCAAATGATTGTCCAAACCAAATTTGAGGTTTCAAATTTAAAATTTTAATGTTGGAAATTTTCTCATTTGTAACAATTTTCTCTTCCATTTCCACTTTCTGATAAAACTGAACTTTAATTTGTTATAACATGCAAAATTGATTGTAATTTTACTTTTTTAAAAGTTGTTTCACTTTCTTACAAACAGATTGCTGTACTTTATCAAAAGTATTCCTCTTTTTAATGGATGCTAAAGTTAAACCCCAACACAAATTACAACTTTATTCTTTATGTATAGCATATATCTGGAAATGTTTATGAATTAAATAATTCATAGCCTAATAAAAATATTGGGCTGTCTGGAAAGTTCATGCCAATTTTTAGTTGTTCATTTTCCAACACATTACAACATATGCTTACATTTCTGATCAGAGTACACTTCAAACTATCTCTTGAGAAAGAAAGTTCAAAAGTACTTGTGTCAATTTTGCATCCCTATGAAGATTATAAGGTGCATTTTAGACATTTTCAGATGCTTCTTTTTTTTATTATTATTTAGCAATAATAATAAATGCCTCACAAGCAACAAAAAAGATGTGCGCTGTTTACAATGGAGGTGCTTTAGCTGAAAGAACTGTATGGAAGTGGTTCACTAAGTTTAGAGTTGGTGATTGTAGCCTTATTGATGAAGAATGCTCAGGTAGACCCTCCCCTACTACAGTTAACAACCAAATCAATGCATTGATTGAGAATTACCCACATTATACATCGCGGGAATTGGCAGAAACGCTAAATTTATCAAAATCCACCATCCATGAGCACTTAGTGAAGCTTGGGTACTCAAATCACTATAATGTTTGGGTACCACATGATCTGAGTGAAAGAATCACATTTCATCTGTGATTTGGTGTATAAATGCAATGAAAATTCACCCTTTTTTTTTTTTTTTAAGCAAATTGTGGAGAGTTGGTTGGTTTGGCAAATTATGTTTCTGTATCGGTTTTTGCAGTTTTCCCTTGGTGTTGTGGTTTTCAATTTGGTTTTTAATTTAGTATTTTTGCTTTCTAAGGAAGCCATTCATTTTTTTGTGTAATGATAACATTTCAAGTTGGTGTCTGATTTGATTTGAGATTGATAAGTTTGCAACTTAGTCCGTTCAGCTCACAATATCTCATGTATTTCTGGTCCAATCTTAAAAATATTCATGTGGCTGGAAAGAAAATAAAATATTTCTAAATATGTAATTTTTATGTTTTTATTCATTGAATTATTTTGTTTGAACAGCTGAAAATACGAAATGATTTTTTTTTTTTTTTTTTTTTTACTTTGTTTCACAAAATCAAAGTGACCAATCTTTATCAATATTCTTGAAATTGTACACTCAATTAGAAGACACAACCAGAAAGATGTTCATCTCTTCTATGACCCATGGAAGTGAATTCATTCAAAAATTAAAGTAAGCAGCAAAAAAGAAAAAAGATGAATTGATAGTACATGTGGTAAAAGAACTTTAAAATTATTGAAACTACTGTCTTGTTGCGTAAAGTAAATGCCTCATATACTTTTTGTTTTCGACTCTCAAGTGGTGAAATGTCTGTCATTGTGGAAGTCTGTTAACTGGTGTGTAAGTGGTCAGTATTTGTTGGGTTTTTTTTTTGTTTTTTCTTTTAGTTTTTTTTAAGCAAGGGTAATAAAAATTTATAGACATGCATTAAATACCACTGGAATTGAAAACCCAAAAATGAAAGCCCTTATGTTTTTAAAAATACCACAATTCTTTTCTGGTATGCCAGTCAATTATTATTGGAGTTTTGCAAATAAATTTCTTCTAAACAAGGAAAATCAATGAGTTATTTTTTTACCTTAAATTTGTTTTTATCTAGCGAATACACTTAAAATTAAATATTAGAAATAATTAAAAGCTTTTAATTATTTTCACTTTTAGAATGTGTAGATTTACAAATCTGTTCTTTTTTAGATATACATTTTAAAACTGAAATTAAAAACTATTTTAATCATTTTAATATATAACCTTAAGTGTATTTGCTAGATAAAACCATAAAGATATTTGTAAAAATAAAATGAATTAATTTTCCTTGTTTTAGAAGAATTTTATAGGCAGAACATCCACCGAAACACTCATGGATAAAAAAGAATTTTTACTTTGGGTTTAAAAAAAAATTACTTGCAATTTTGAAAATATACACATTTTAAAACTGAGATCAAAACTTTATTTTTTTTTTATATCTAATTTTAGGTGTATTATTTGCAAGATAGAAGCATAATTTTATTTGTAGAAAACAAATAATTTTACACTAGAGACTTGCATGTCTGGAAATAATCACATTTTAAAACTGAAATTAAGAACTATTTTATTCTTAATATCTAATTTAGGTGCATTTCCTAGATTAAAAAAAAAAACAAATTTATTCATAAAAAAAAAATCTTCATTCATTTCTTGATTGGCATACACTGGCTTCTTACTAGACAACAATTCTGCACAACCCTTAAAAAAATCTGACTTTATAAAATTTAACATTAAGAAAAAACTGGCAACTATTTCTTTTATTTTTACTCACTATTTTGTTAACTTTTACCACAAAGTTTTTTTGTTTTTTTTTTTAACTGAAACAAATAGATTTTAGACATGTCTCTTCCCTTTTGAAAACATGATTTCCAAGTGTCATATCTTGTATTTCCTTTTTTTTTTTTTCTTTTGTTCTTCATTTCTTTTGTGAAACAGTAGATTTCACATTTATTCCCTAAAACTAGTCAATTAAATGTTTTTAACATTTTTGTTCAATCTTTTTCTCTTACAATGGTATAAATGTTGATAAAATTTAATTTTATCAACATCTGAAAGTCTTTTTCAGTAGTGTTTCTTTGGATATGAAATCAGTAGTGATAGTACTAAACCGAACAATTTTGGTTTCATAAAAAATTTCAATGCAGTTTCACAGTGTGGGGATGAAACAAAAAAAAAAGTTGGTTTTTCAGTTAAACCACCCATCTCTAAAATTGCGACTGGTGAGGAAAAATGGATTGTTTACAACAATGTTCAGCAAAAAAGATCTGGGGTAAGCGACATGAGCCAACTTTAGCCACCTTAAAAGTAGGTCTTCATCCTAAGAAAGTCATGCTGTGCACCTGGTGGGATTGGAAAGGAATCCTGTTCTATGAGCTTCTGTCAAGTAACCAGTCAGTTGATTCTGAAAAGTACAGCTCACAACTGGATAAATTAAAGGCAGAAATTCAAGAAAAACTCCCAGAATTGGTGAACAGGAAAGATAGAAAGGTATTGTTTTTCATCAGAATAGTGCTTTTGGCAACCTGGCAAAAATTGTTGCAGCTTGCCATATTCACCATTCATTGCTCATTCGGATTTTCATTTATTCAGGTCCTTGAATAATAATCTGAATGATAAAAATTTTAATTCTTTGGATGACATAAAAAAAACACCTTAATGAGTTCTTTGCCAAGAAACCACTGAAATTCTGGAATTAAGTTGAAGAAAAAATGGAGAAAGGTTGTGCAACAAAATGGTTCATATTTAGTTGAATAAATATTTAATGGCATAATTTTGTTTTGTGTTTTAATTTCCCTTAAAAATTGGCATGAATTTTCCAGACAGCCCAATAGCATTACAGCATTGCAAATCTACATTGACCATTTAGAAATCTCATATTTCGAAGCAACCTAACATTTAATGTAAGTTTAGTGGTCTCAGTGCTCCCTCCATTTTTTTTTTCTTGTTTTCAAAAATCAGGTTGTCATTCATTGTGTAATTGTATTAAAATAAATTTATGGCAAATTAACTTTTATTCTTAACAATTTTGTTATTAAAACCAATTTTTTATCTTCTAAACTATTGTTAATTTCATATATATAGTGATGGAATTTAGTAGACAAGCATGTGAAGGATCCTGCCTCCATTTGGTCCTCACTTCAAAATCTGAATTCATCTTGGAGAACATACTAGTAATAATATAAATTTTCTCTGCACTCAAAGTAAAACATTTTAGACATGAAACGGTCTATTGTGTGGACTTTTTGTTTAATTTCAGCAAATGTTTATATAATATTTCTGAAATGGCACTCCTATGAATTACTTCATCACTAGCAAGTGTTTCTCTGGTTGTTGTATCTTTGTTCATCGCTTCAAGTTAGTATATACTTTGATGCTTTTTATTTAAAAGTTCCATATGTACGCTCCTTTTAATTAAAACTGGTATTAACCAACTGATATTTGTGAAAGTTTCAGGATATATTATGACATATTTATATTAGCAATATATTTAACAAGTTTAATTGCTTGATTAATTATTAAAAATATTGGTAATAACCTGTTTTATGGTGGTATCTAGTTATAAAAAAAATGAATACAGCATAACTATTCATCTATAAATAAATTTACAAAAGACAGCCCACAGAAACATATCTAATTTACACAATAATTCAAATGCATAAATTATTATTTTAATTGTTAATGAACTCTTTGATATTTTATAATCTCCATCAGTCTTTCAGTAATTGATTTGTTAACTGTTACTGTTTTGAATTTCTTGCAACAGTTTTTATTACCAGAAATCTTCTTAAATATTCTTTCTTGTTCTGATATCTCTTAATTATGGGTCACTATTGGATTTGTATATGAAAGGGCTAGGAGCTACTACATTAATTTTAGTGTTTTTAAAACCTGTTTTGAAAAAGCTTTGTAAATTGTGAATAAGCATTCTTAAAGCTTCTTGGCTGTGACCTGTACAGTTCACAAAACATTTGAGAACTTACAATAATTCTATGTTTATCTTGACACCCTCAACTTTATAGGTATCTAATTATATTGCTTACAATACCAGCCCAAAACTTTATCCCCCTTACACACTGTAGCTTTATATTCCTCACATAAAGTCACTGTTGAGAAATGATGGTTTTTGTACTTATTCAAACAACTTTTTTAGATATTGGTAAACTTAAGTTTTGTTGCTTTCATCTCTTTAGCCAATGTTCTTTATGTTCTGCATTTTTTCTGTTTACATTTGCAATACCAGCTTCTTAAAATATTTGCTTCAACTTTTCCATTTTAACTTTTTATTACCATTGTTTTTCTTATTCTTATCTCTCCAATGTTTATAATGTTCTGTGATCTGTTAAAACTTTTTTTTTTAATTTCCAGCATTTTATACTCCTGTCACTTAATAACTTTACCTTGTTGCTCTATTGAACATATATATCTTTTTATGACCCATGGAACTTTCTATTTGAAATTAAAACAATAGATATCAATAACTTTACTATTATAAATATACAAATAAACTATTGTAAATTTAAACATGCTACTAGGTCAAATTCAAATGCAATGTCAATTGGCATTTCCAGAGGCCTTGATCTGTTCCCCGTATTTCTCTTCATCCTTTCCTCTCTCACGCCTCTTTACCCTTGCTCCCATATTCTGTAACCCCTTGCATGCTAGTGGCACTCCTGCCTTTCTTGGGGTGAAATGTTGTTTTTTTTTTTTTTTTTTTTTTTTTTTAAAGATATTATAAACTGAAATTCACATTGTATATTTATCATTTAGCCTAAAATTGTTCCCAATCTTATGAAAACATTGATTTTCATAATAAAATCTGGTATAGATAACAAATTATGAATTATCAATGCAAATTAGTTGTGAGATCACTTTAATACAAACAATAATATCATTATTTTTTTTTTTTTATATATATATATATATATTTTCAAAATGTTTATGAATGCCATAGTGTTTAGAATATGTATATTAGAAATATATATTAGACACTGAATGCTGAAAGGAAAGAAACCCCCTCCCCCAGAAAGTAGAAACTTGGTAAATATGGATGTATTTTATTCATCCCTCAAGATTTTAGCAAAAGTTAACTTCGTGATAATTTTAAAATTAATTTGTCATGATTCTCACTAGCTTAATTTTTTTTGACTCCATGTAAATAAAATTACAAGTTGAATCTAGTTATATTTATATAACTTATAACTTTCCTTTAGCTATATGCATTTGTATGTTTTCCAGCCATTGGTGAAATGCAATTAGTAATGTAACATCTGGTCAGTTCGAGATGACTGATTATTTGTGTACCAAAACTGAATAAGGAATACTTCTGAAGTTTTTGTCATAAAAACTGGGTGAAGGTGGAAAGTATTAAAAAAAGTTTGAATACATTTATTTCAACTGTGTTATGCCTTCACATAGTTTGTGCCAGCCTTTTACTGGAGGGTGTTAGGATTTATGTTACTGTTGCTTTCTTACCTGCCATAAATCTAGCTTATAAAGAAACTCTTACTTCAAATTCCATTTCCCACATTACTGAGGTTAACTGATATGCTCATAAAAAATAAGGAAAGATTTGGGGAAGAATAATTTTTATAGATTAGCATTCATCAGACTCTAAATATATTTATCAATTGAATTTTTTTTTTTTATTTATTTAATGGTTGTGGGGGGTCATAATATAAATACCCTTGATCCCCTGATTTTTTAAAGCATTACAAATGTCAAGTTCAAAAAATCTATTTTCTCAAAAATGTTTTAAAAAAAAAATCTGTTTCTGCAATCTGTTTAAAAACAAGAAAATCCTGAATTGTGGAGAAAAGGGCAACAACAGTAGTACACAATTATCAATGATGAGGACAGTGTTCTAAACTTGACATTTTTTAATAAAAATATGATACTTCATGCTGGTCAATTCTGGATCAATTCCTAAGCTGTCTTACTATCACTGGTCATTGAACTTGGCCGTTCTAGACTGCACCCCACTCCACCCCACATTGTGTTTTTTAATCACAGAGCTGACAAAGACAGGGTTGTCGCCAGCAATTGTAGCACTGGTTCAAATCACGGTGAAGTTATATCACAAAGAAAAATAAAAAAAAAATGTTCTTTGCAGACATAATAAAGAAAAGATAGGAATTTCTTCAGGGTCTATTTTCTATGTGGTTTATATCATTCTTTGTACAAAAATATTAACCCTCCCAACTTTGAATTCTATTGTGACACTTTGCTTAATTTAGCTAAGTCTGAAACAAGGCTTAAGTCAGGAGTTCTCTTTGGCAGCAAGTCACATGGAATTCATCAGCTCCTCCTGCTGTCTGGTCTTGTCTGCATCTCTGGCCAGCAACTCTGTGGAATTGCTTCAGTGTTCTGCTTATATTGACTTTTATCTAAGACTGGCATGTGGCTGACATGATAGGGGGACCCGGTGTTTCCCCTGCCTTCCAACAAGCCTTTCTTGCCTGGCTTTGGAAAATTAATTATCTCTCTAAATTTGGAAATTGCTACTTCCTATGGTTAGTGGTTGCAGGTATTGACCCATCCATATAACTCATACCTTCTCTTATTTATGCTTCCCATTATTACTTCCCAGTGGGCGTAGGCAATTACTGCATCGTTTTTGGTATCTCACCTACACTTTTCATTTCGATTGTCATTTTGACAAATCTGATTTTAAAACCCTGTGGGTGAAATGGCATGGCTTCACTTTTAGTCATTAATTAGGATTATCATTTTAATTTTTTTGTCAGCAAATTTTCCCCATCCTGGTCTTGTTCATATAATCAGAAATTTACCAGGTGTTTCCTCCATATCTTGTTAACTCATTTGCACTTATGAACCCTGGGTCTTTACATAAATTCTATTTCTCGATTTGTTTACAATTTCTACTTTTTGATAAGTGGAATATATCAGTTTCTCAATTCTGCTTTGTTTTTAAAAATTACCAAATATTATCTTCTCAATTGGCTTTATTTTCAGCTGATCTCTAGATGATTTCATAACTTCCACTTTAAGGCAGTGCTATCAATCACCAGCCCAGCTTTTCCAGATGTTCTCTTTGATAATCTTTTTCCCCAAAACAACAAAGTCACTTTCTTCGAGCCAACTCTGCTTAAAAAATAAACTTTCAAAATTAAAAGCAATTTCACTTCTTTTAGTTTATCTATTGTTCCATTCTTTAACCCTTTTTGTCTTGTTTCAAGTTATATTTTAATTTTAACCCTTTGCTTTCTGTTTGTCAGTATCACAAAAAAAAACCTGAACTTACAACCATATCATGTTGAAACATTGGTTCCCATACGATTATAGAAGTTAAGCAACATCAAACCTGGTTAGTATCTAGATGGGTGACCACTTGAGAATACTAGGTGCTGTAAACTTGGCTGTTTGGGTGGTGTAATGGATAATGGTTCAGAATTGTTAATAGGAAAGCCTAGTTCCAATTCCAGTTTGCTTTTTTATATTCACTTACATTCAGAATACCCTTGGGTAATTTACCTCTTCTCTCCCCAGCTATAATTTCCAACAAGAGAATTTCATTTCTGCTATTTGTATCACAAAATCATTATCTCCTTCTCCCCTACCAAATTCATACACTCTAAAAATATTTTCTGCCTTTATATAACTTGCAATAATTTATTTTTTTAAAACAAAAAAAGAAAGAAATATTTCACTATTGACCACTATTCTTTGCTTAGGATAGATTCAAATTTCAAGATCTTTTATTTGACCCATCTAAATGTATTGGAATTTTAGATAAAAGATCTTATTAACCACTTTTCTCTATGTTACTATATGCTAGTTTTCATTTTTCAAATGCAATTAAATTCCACCGTTGTCTTCTGTCATGCATATTTGCCTCAGATTTCTATAGTCAGATGTCCTTTCCATAACTATTGAATCAGTTATTTACTTTTTGTCAAACAGTTAACAGGTGTTTCAACTCTTCTTTTCACTTGAGAAAAGGTGTTTTTAAACACAAAACAATTTCACAAATGTTCATACCCTTTTAACATTGCAAACTTTTCAGATCAATTTTGATTATTATTTATTTCCCTAGTGAGAAAAAAATAAAAATTTACTAACAAATCTATCTCCTAGAGGTAATACAAGACTGATACATACACCTCACAATTACACGAAAACAATACTTTAATATGTTTAGTTTTTTCAACAGCATTGTTAGAAAAACACACTCCATCTTAATATGCATGTGTCTATTATTTATTTTCACACTCAAGATGTTTCTTTCCTTTTACATCTCTTGCTTATGATATATTTGGCATAATAATCCAATTTTCAAGATTTGTCAAACTTATATAAACTATTAACAAGATATTAGTTATATATTCACTGAAAGATTGTAGAAAACTGAGTTATTTATTCAATCATGTTACCTGAAATTACAAGTAATTGTTATTTACACTCTAACTCTTGCCTTCATTTTGTTCTCACAATGTATCCATAGTTGTGCTCTCCTGGCTTCACCAGGTTTACCTTCAGGGAATTTTTTTATCTATTATTATTGTTGTTGTTCTCATTCTGCTATGTCTAGAGATATCTCATTTTGTTCTTATTCAGTAATGCTCAGTTATTGTTTGCGTAGTTTCCACAATTTGTCAGCACTACCCAGCCCACGGATTGAACTCACAATTACTATCCAATGGATTAAAGCACTGTATAGTGCAGATGTGAATACAGAGTGGACAATAACTGGGCAGTGCTAAATAAGAACAAGATGAGATATCCCTAGACATTGGCAACAAAAATAAATATTAAATAAAGAATTCAGTTTTAAATTCTCTGAAGGTTACCCAGATTAACAAGCCCTTGATGAAGTCTGGAGGAATCAGTTGCTGAAACGTTGTGATAACAAAAAGGAGGACAATAGTCAGTGTGTAAATAATGTAAATAACTCATCACAGAAATTCACAGTATTTTATGATTTATTTTTATTCCATAAACAAACTTGTAAACAAAATTCACATAGCAACTTTTATTTGAATCCATATAACAATTCTATTGAGCAATGGCCAGTATTGATTTCTTTTTTTTCCTTTTTTAGAGTAAATGTCTTTGCTATTCTAATGATAGTAAATAAAGTAATAAGATTATATCAAATTTGTTCCATGTTTTTTGGGTTTTTTTTACCTTGCGTTCACACAGATTAGTTTCACATGTGAGTGTACACACGTGTATATACATATTTATAATCATACTTACTTTTATAAATATTAATTTGTAAACTTGAATTTGTAAAAAAATATTTGCTTAGCATTATTATTATTACCTTGTCAGCATTTCTCAATTCCTTTTTGAAATTTAACTGTGTTTCTATTTAGCTGTATTAGCAATATTAAATCACAAACAGAATTACAGTAAAGTTTCAATTGTAGTTTGCAATACAAGCAAACCCTACTTTATGCAACTAAGTTGTCCCAATTTTTACACACACGACAAATTCAAGTAATTAATAGTATACATGAGAATAATACAATAAACCCATGTCATTTCAGATTTTCCATCAAGGCTCATAATAGTGTTTGAAAAAAAAATTTTACCTGTATTTAAAGCAAAAATTACAATGTCTTTGCTATTCTAATGATAGTTAATAAAATTGATATTTATTTCAAAATTACATCAAAAGTAAAATATTTCTTAAAAAAATATTTGTATAAAGCTGACTGCACAAATTTATTTTTTTACAATTTCCTATATCTAACAATACCTTTTATTAGGATAGTCATTTAGGTAAAAATCTTAAGCACCTTCAACAAATTTAGATTTATACAGTGATTCCTTTAGCCATATTTTCAGCTGTTTCACTTTATTTTCAAATGCATATTGAAGTAGAAAATCATTTTTACTTCATTTTTCTGCATACAAATCAAGCAATATGTTGTAGCAGATCTATGGACAATAATGGGTATGTACCCATTCACATAAATACAATAGTAAATGCTGTACGTTAGTCTGCAGTCGGTGATTTGGACAGTGTTTGTAATACTTACCAGACTTGATAAGATGGTTTTCCTGCCATACTAGGAAATTCTTTTTTGTTCTACAAACTCCGTTTTAGTTAAGTTCTAATTAATTTTACCTTTTTTGTTCTCTTTTGCTGACTATTATTTGAAAACTTTCTTTGATTTTTTTTTTTCACTTTTTCTTTTCTTTTTCAGTTTATTACATTCCCATTTTTATTTTTCCTTTTATTTTGTATTTATCCTATTATTAGTTTTGATTTTTACATTAAAGTCTCCTTTTTAATTTACCCTTTTTTCATTTTTGATTTTCTATACTCTCCTCCCAGAGTTTATCTGTTTATATTTCTGTGTTAATATTTCTGTTGTCATCAGACTTTATTTTTTCTTTGTTCATTTAGTAACGTATTATTTGTTACGTGTTACTTCATTCTTTTTTTTTTTCCTTTTCCATTAAATGTTCTGTGTTTTAATCGTTTAATTCTTCTGTTTTCATATTTGTTCTAATTGTGTTTATTTAGTCTAACTTGTCTGTTTTCTACTCATATTTAGTTTATCGGCAAGCCTTTATTTTTAAAGCGCCATATTGAATTTTTTTTGTTTAGTTGATACGTGTTGTTTTTCGTATTTGTGTTTGTAGCTTGTCCTTTTTACTTTTATATTTAGTTTTTTAAAAATGTTTATTGTTGCTTAAAGTGTTTTCTTTATAGTTTACTTTATTTTGTGTAATTTATTTGGGTCTTCATTCATTATAACGTTTGTTTTTTGTTTTGAACTGTTGTTTTCCATTCTAATTTTATGTATATTTATCTTTTCATTTGTTTGTGACCAATTGTTCACGTTTTTCTTTTTTTAATGTATTTAATTGTTATTTTGTGATTATTGTTTTGAATTTTTTTGTCATCTTAAATTTGTTTGATTCACTTCTAAGCGATATTTTTTTGCTGTTTTATTTTTTACATTTTGCTTTGCCTATAGACGACACTTGTTTCTTACCATCCCTCTCCTTCCATCTTATAATCTCTAAAAGTAGAGAAAAAACAAGCAATATACCATCTTTTCTTACTAAAAAAAAAAAAAAAAGAAAGAAACCAATAATGACTGATTTCAGGAGGTTAGTTAAAAAAACATTTGTTCTCCTTTAAAAAAAACACCCTCCTGACAAAGATAGCATGGAGGAGTACCCAGTTTTGATGAGTACACCCCTAGATAAGGAAGAAGGAAATTACCCAAACAAGACAACTAAATCTATGGAGGCCAAAAATGGCCAAAATCTGAAATCAAAATATATGGAAGACAATAATGTCCAAAATAAAGAAAAGAAAATAGATAATGCTGAGGCCAGGGAATCGCCCTCTTGTTGGTTGCCCCCCCCCCTTTCCTGGTTGCATAATCACTATTGTGGAGTTCTTGGAGCGAGCTGAGAGTTACGTACACCTTGTTGTAGAAGGTGGACTCTTAGAAGACCCCCAAGAACTAAGAAAAATTTAGAAAAGAATAATGTCGGTCTTCATCATCAACAAGCGTTCGCGCAAAATTTGTCTGGAATCCCTAGGGTTTAAGCCACTAAAAATAATTACAAATGAATATGAAGGCAAACGATTGACAAGTGTAGCAATATACGAATGACCATTGTAGCAATTTACAAAGTCCCTCCTCGGGTTATCGGGGAACACTTCTCCATTTTCCTTTCAGAGTACGGCAAGATATTGGGTGCTTCCTGCTATAGCCTGAACAGGGGATAGAGATACCAAAAAGGCTAATCCATCAACATCTGCCCAGTCCACACCTTCACCTCAGAAACATACTTCCCCTCTCTCAACACCTTCAAAAACAGTTCCCCTCAGCAGAGATCCCAGCCTTTACAAAGATCCTCCTATTACCCATCATCATACTCCCAGTCCTTCACCCATTAAAAATGCTGATATGCCTTCTCCACCTTCCAAAAGACAGAGAAGCCCTACCCAAGAACTGAAAGATAAAAGAAAAAAACTCAGAAACACATATATAACTTGGGGAAGGGTGTCTGCTGAATTTCCCCGGCCCATGCCAAAAGAGCCATGCAAAAAGGATTATGGAAACTGTATTAAGGATTTGAAGCATCTATCTATTTGGCAATATGTTGACAAGGTTGTGGAAGAGCCACAAAACGTTCCCCATGCCCAGAGAGTTTTAACAGTTATTAGAACAGGAACAGGAGCTCGACAGGCATGGGCGATATAGGATGGGATCATCATCTCTTGTAAAATGTCCCCGCCAATCGCCATCATGGAAAACAAACAGCTAAAACATTTGAAACAGTTTTGTGCAGGGTGGGTCCCAGTTTTAGTTTACCCCTCCCTCTATAGAGCACTAAAACTGACATTTCCCTGGGATATAGGTAATCTCTCCTAAGAAGGTACCATCAAGACTGAGATGGGCCTAGGGCCAATGGGAGAGGCTGTCAGTATCCTTACCCCAACAATGTTAAACCAGCATCCCAACCCTAATCAGTCTGATAATGGCACTCTGGTTAGCAGGTCTGAATGTCCAGGGCCTGAGGTCAGTCTCAATAGGCGAGGCTCAATCATGATCTTCAGAGCCTCGAAGTGGATGTATGTTGTGTACAGGAGACCCATTTTTTTATCTTGTGACCATGAAGACATTCTGTCTAAGAGGTTCATCTTCTATTCAGCATGTTTTGATGGATGCTCGAGGAGTGTTTCCTGGCTAGTGAGTAAGTCTCTGGATGCGGTGTGTGCTCTTGTCTCCACGGACCTGGTGGGCAGATTTTGTGTGCTAGATGTTACCATAAGGGATAAGGCTCTCCCTCTCATTGGGGTTTATGCGCCCAATGATCATGCGCAGCGAGCTGTTTTGTTTTGGCAGATTGCGCCTTTTTTGCTGACATCTCATTCAGTAGTTCTAGTAGGTGATTGGAATGCTGTCCTTGATCCCAATATAGATCGTATAGGGCATAGATTGGGTACTAACAACCCAGATGTTAAGCTGTTTCGGGATTTCATCCTGTCAATAAGTATCGAAATGAGCATCCCCGAGAGGTGGTATAGACTTGGACCTAGGGCAGCAGCTTGGATTCAGTGGTGAGCACAAGCTACATCGACCAAGTTCTAGTTAAGAGAGTCGACGTCCAATTTTCCATTTTATAGTTTACTCTGATCATAGGCTTGTCCAGGTCCGGGTAAACTTAGGCTTGTCTAAGGTTAAGAGGGTTGGTTACTGGAAATTGAATGCATCATTATTTGGTGAACAAGGGACCAGCTTCTACTAATGCTACAGTGGGGATTGTCGGGGGCTGTGTTTGGGAATAAGTGGTGAGATTCTCTGAAATCCAAACTTAGGACTTTTGCTGCTGATTTTAGTCGTCGACTCAATCTGGCAGGGTTAGCAGCACAAAAGGCTCTGGAGGCAAAAGTAGATTGGGCTGTTAAATCACATGACAGTGGGGATGTAGCTAAGGTGGAGCTGGCATCCTTTCTTATCAAGAAGGGTCAAGCTCTAGTAGTTAGGGCGAGGATAAAAAGAATGTCTTGCGAGGCTATGAACATGGCCGCTTCATTGCGTGCAGAGGGAGCTCCTAGGGCATCTAGTCAGCATATCACAAGCATCACATTGCTGGACAAGCGGATTGTGACTCCAAACATTGGCATTTGTGAGCCTTTTCATGACTACTTTCAGGAGCTATTTACCAGGTAGCGCAGTCTGAGCGCTGCTCAGTTTGATGCCTATTTAGCTGACTTTCTCCACCTCAAGGCAGCTGAAGCGGCTGGGTCCAAGGGTAACATTACAGAGTCTGAGATCTGGGATGTGCTGAAACAGGTTGGCCTGGACAAGACTCCGGGATTAGATGGTCTACCTTACGAAATGTATTTGTTGGCTCTGATTTACAACAACTGGATGAGGTAGGGGTCTATACCTCAACATTTCACCAGGGGTGTGATCAAGTTGCTTCGCAAGAGCAAAGACAGTGGGGATGGGTTAGATAATTATCGTCCTTTGATGTTAAACACAGAGTTGAAGATTTTAGCCAAAGTCTTAGCTGGCAGTTTGCAGGCTGTCCTCTCTAGTCTCATTGGTCCCAAGCAGACTTGTGCTGTGAAGGGCGGGACTGTTCAGGACAACCTTCATTTGGTACAGTTGTTCATCGAGCAAGTCAAGAGTGATGCCACACTGATCAATTTAGATCAGTCCAAGGCTTTCGATAGGGTTGACCATCAGTTTCTGGAGGCTGTTCTTTTGGTCGCCGGTTTCGGGCTGGACTTTCGCACTTGGATCCGACTGTTGTATGCGTTCCCCAGTGCAGTGGTAGAAGTGAATGGGGTAAGATCGAAACCTTTCATTTCGTCTCACTCCATTCGTCAAGGTTGTCCACTATCTCCATTGCTGTACGTTCTTGCATTGGAACCTTTCCTGCGTAAGTTGAAGATGAATACAGTCCTTCGCGGAATTTCCTTACCTGGTGCTACCACCTCGGCCAGGTATTCCGCCTATGCTGATGACGTTTTGGTTCTTGTCTCGAGCTGGTCCGAAATTAACAAAGTCAGCAAAGAAATCAAGGGATATGAGATAGTGACAGGGGCCAAGATCAACCGCAATGTCTATTGGCTTGTGGTTGTGTTCATGGAAGGGAGTTTCTCTTCCCGGATCTTTACTCTGGACGGACGGGCCAGTCAAGATATTCAGCATCTGGTTCAGTCCCAATTCCTGTTGGAGATGAATTGGTTGGGGGTGCAGGAGAAGGCTGAACTCGCAGTTCGTCTGTGGACCTGAAGGAATCTTTCCTTGAAGGGGAGGCTGGAAGTATGTGCATCGCACATCTATCCGATTCTCCTGACTCTCCGTGCTTCCACTCCCGTCTGACACTTTATTGGCATTTGTAAGGCTCTTGTTCTCCTTCTTGTGGGGAAGCCAAGCTGCCATGGTTAGTCGTGAGATCTGTTACCTCCATCCTTCTGATGGTGGTCTGGGGGTGCCTTGCATTGAGATTCATCAACATACGCTTCGCATCACTTACCTAGACTGGATGTGTATGCAGTTGGATGAGAACGGCGAATTCTGGAAGGAAGACACACGTAGAAAATTTCCATCCTTAAGTGTGTGCTCATGCGAGGAGGAGGAGGCCAGCTGTACGCCCTGAAGTGAGGGCTCCTTCTATCACGAATGTTGGCTTGCTCTCAAGCAACTCTTACAGGCAAAGGATGGCCTCTCCGACGTCCAGCCATTGTCCTGTAAGGCATTATATCAGGTGTTAATTAGGTGGAACGTTCAAGATGCTTTGATAGGCAAGCTTGGTCTGATGAAGTGGGAGGCTCACTGCATATGGCCTTGAGCACCCGGTTTGAAATGTCTCCATAACACTGAGTCATCACTCACCTGGCTGTTGATTCGAGTGGCCCTCTGGGTCACCAAAAGACTTCATGCAGTGGGTTTGGCTAAGTTACCAAACGGTGTTCGCTG